TTTAAGCTGTTGGCCATTGCCCTGGTGGCCTTAGTTCCTGGAACCCTCATTAAAAAGTTTAGTCAGAAAGACCTGCATTTGAATGACGCACGCAACGCTAATCATCTAAATAGTAGAAAGGACACGTGACCTGGGTCCTATGGTTGCTGTGTCCCTGGACTCCCTAGTTTGTTTGTGTAATGGTTGTGGTCCTTTGAAGCCCCCCTCATTGTTTTTAAATTATTGTCAATAGCTGACTGGGACACCGTTCATCTGTGTGCACTCTGTTGCCATGAAGGACACTGCTCTAGGAGGTGAATTATATCAGGTGCTCATACAAGCCCTGGTTTAGCAGGATGCTTGCTCTGCAAAACGGATGGCCTGCTAGCGAGTCCTGTTATTTTATTGAATAACAAGGAATTCAGGGTGGTCTGTTGTATGTGCCTCTTGTCCAGCGCTGAGCCGCCTCAGGAGAGGATGCTGGTGGCCCTTGTCCAGAGTGCCTCTTTTGCACAGTGATAGGCCGTTGTGACAGGTGGTGTCCTTTGAAGTCCCCTGTGGATGTGCTTAGTTTAGATAATGACCTGTAAACCCACCTCACTGACACCACTCTTCATCTTGTTAGTCTCCTGAGAAGTGTTTCTTCTGTACTTTTTTTCTGATGACCTACCTCTGCCATAAATCAAGGGAAAGGAGCTGATGACTGCATAGAACGTCCATGTACAGCTCAAAAGCACAGTGATTTCTGTGATGCTCTTTGTGTTCGGATGTAGTGATGTTACCACATAAGTCAAATCTCCTCTTGGCTGCATGTCCTGACACTTAAGCTGGATTGCTAACAGACTATTACATATGAATGGAGTAAACTCTGTACGTTATGAATAGTTCTGGAGAAGTTCTTATGCATCTGGATGGGCAGAGCCCTTGACTCACCTGAATCAAATGACCGTCAGTACATTTTCTGGTCTGTCCTTTGTGGGAGTCCCTCCTCTATCCTGCTGGGAGAATGGATTCAGTACACTTGAGCATCAGCCCATATATTCTCTGAATTTTTTTGTTGTTGTTTGTATGTTGTCATTTGCTAAGGGTAACTGAGGGCTAATTCTATTTTATCTTTTAATTCAAAGGGGAAAAATTGGTTTTGGATTACTTTGTTGTGTTGTATTGTAATTATCTGTAGCTGTCATTGCTTCCTCTATGGCTGTTGTATTGAACTGGCACAGACCTGGGTTAACACTTCCAAGGACAGAAGGACCCTGACACCTAAACTGAGCAGCTCTGGGATCCTGTACTCAACAGGAGTAACTCATCATTTCTTTCCAGAACTGTTGCCCTTGGGCACCATCTGCTGGTTTGACTGATTTGACTTGGCCAAGAATCTTGCCAGGGCTTTAATGTGGACCGGTTGTTCTACGTGAATTCTTGGGAATATTCCTGTTCAGTAGGAAGAATGAATTCCCAAGCAGTATGTTTTGGACACAGTATAATCCATAACACACAACAAGGACTTCATTTTTAAGCATGTGTTGCTTTAAAAAAAAGCCTGATAACAGGAGTGGGTGAGAGGAGGAGGCCAACGGGACTTGGAAATCCTTGGCTCTTTGTCTTCTCAAGTAGGAGGAGGGAAGGGCAGAAACAAGGAAGCTTTCTACACTATTGATAGTGTGTGCCCGTTGCCCTTTATTGGGATCCTTGGATTTGTGTCGCTCCCTCTTCCCCCATGATTTTGCAACAATGTGCCTTATCAGTTGTGAGTTTATAGGTAAAGCAATTTCCCAAATAAATGGATATAAATGTTCTGTGTGGTGTGTGTTTGATCATGTTGCTAACAGTACCCTAAGGAAAAGACAGGACAGAAAACAGTGAAGTTCACTTTTTGTTTAATTCCATGCATTTGTTTGCTTTGATAGTCACTCTTGTTCCCATCGATGTACAATTGTTCAATACAAAGAGGGAGGCGGCATCCTCACAGGGAGCAGGGGAACTCAGTGCCGGAGACCACAGAGGACACCGACAAGAGTTCATTTTGAGACTTGACTACAAAAAGAAGTTAATTTGCTCCAAATTGAAAGGAACTCAAATTACCGCAAACAAGAATCAAGTGAGTCATCCCACTTCCTGAGTCTGAGAAGTGATCACTCTGGAGGCAGTGAGCTACCCAGGTGATATGGTCAATAAGGGACATCTTGCACATTCTGGCTCTGGTTCCCTCTAGCCTGCAATCATTGGAGGACCCTGTCTTCCTGGTCACTGGGCAGCAGGCTGGGGCCAGGAGCCAGTATTCCCCTGAGTGCTGTGAAGTGGCTCTAGAGAATAGGCCTGGGATTTGTCCAGAAGTTTCCTGACAGTGGCCTTGCCATCTGCCTGGGGTCTTGGCCCTGTGTGAGATCCTGCCAGCATGCTCTGGTCACGTGACAGTTAAAAGCCCTAACCCAACTCCTTTGGGATAACCCTGTTTCTTAGAACAGTGATTTCGGAGCTCTTCTCTTCTGCCACCTGTCCCTGAGAAGTGTTCCAGCTTCCACAAGGGTCCTCCGCTTGGCAGCCTAGTTCATTCCAGTCTGAACAGGAGCTTGCAGTATTGGCTGTAACATGCAAACAGGCAGACTAATGTGATTCTTATGTGCTAGTCCGTGAGGTTGGTAACACTGGCGCTGTGAGTATAGTAGCACATTTATTCTATGAAGTCAGCAATGAAGAAGAATCTTGCTGCCTGAAAAGGCACTAAATTCGTACTGACAGTCCAAGTCAAAGTCTTAAAAAAGAGAATGTCACATTGTTTTGGTACATCAATCTCACAGAGTCTAAGGAAGAAGCAAGGAACTGGGACTTAATATGTTAACTCTGTTTACAGATGGTGATGGAGGAACATGCTCACTTAACACAATGCAATGATGTAAATCAAGAGACAGTTGGAATTCAATCTGTCAGTGACTGGAGGTTATTCAATTGGAATCATAGTCCAAAAGGGCAGTGGGTGGAGGCACGTCGCCTTTTTCCCGCCATCAGTGCTGCCCCCCTCCCCCCGACAGCCATAGGCTGGGATCCGTAAGGAGTACACTGGTGCAATCCCGTCAGTCTCCTGTCAGGGCTAACTCAAGATCTCAAACCACCTTGGGAAATTAATTATGAGGGTAGAGCTGAGAAGGCAAACAGATCTCCCCTTGCACACCAATTCCCATTGAGTGGTAACTGTTGCTCCAAGTGCTGTGTTGTGAGAGGTTCTGAGGCTGTGTCCAAGCTCAGTAGGAAAGAATACAATAATCAATAAACAACATGGGTCTTGGGTATTTAGGGTGGAAATGGTAGACAGTATTATGTGGGGTATTTTGGTTTCTGGCTTAGTGGAAAAACAAAAAACATGGCACACTATATTGCAGAGCAGGTGAGAATTCCTTGGATGCTATTATGTTTGTAGAATTCAGTTCCAGGAAGTTCAAGTATGAATATTTTAAGAAAAGAGGGAAAAACTGAGACACAAAGGCATGGGAAAAAAGGGTAAATCATTTGATCAACAAAGATGCATTCACACTGAAAAAAAAAGTCAATGTTTCACAGAGGCAGAGGGCATTTCAAATTGGGTTGGTACCAGGAAAACCCCAAACCATCAACTCTATTACTACTTAGGGTAAGAGGAAAATTTAGTACAATGAGGCCCTGAAATGGAAGTCCAGTAACTTACTAAATCCTACTAAAAATATCCTTAATTCTGAAGGATGAATTTGTTGATACTAAAGTTTTAAAATATCTGAACTTCAAGTAGGTCATGCCAGGTCATCTTACAACAGAGCTAGTATCTTCACCTTTCTGGGAGGTGCTCCCCACAATCTCACAAACAGGTCTAAATTTTAGCAGAGGTAAAGTCTATTATAATTTCAAAGGGGATGCAGGCTTCTCAGTCCTGTTAAACAATTTTAAGAGGAATTGTTATTCAGAGGACACGATCTAGAAATAGATGGGAATCAGAACCAAATGCCCATCTACAACACAAGTTAAAGCTCATTAACTGGCAGTCAGTCAAAAACATGTGGACATTCATCTTAAGGGGGTTAAACTTTCAATCAACAATTAAGCTGGAAATCAGTCCTGCGAGTTTCCTTAAAGCACTGTTGCAAGTTGTCAGGACTGAAGATTTAGCTCTTCAATTCCCGAGCTCTTCATTCAGCATTCCTCAGATGGCTGTGGAATTGTCCTCAAAGAAACACACATCAGTTCAAAGTTGTCCTGCTTATTTCAAGGCAGGTAGTGAAGGGCAGCCTCGGGTAGAGAAGGCATTTCTCTTTTAACCTAAAAACACTGTTCTTCTCTGAAGCCTCTAGTCACTTCTACTAAAAAATAAGTAAAATGTTCAATGTGGAACTTTATTCAACTCTTGACAATACAGTGAGTGAGTGAAGATTCCACACTAACACCCTAATATGCTCATGACAGTTAAGGCAGATAGGTGGATGGCATTATCATGACAGTCAAGATGGGAATTCAAAAAACTTAATCCAAATTATGAGGTCGTGGGGTGGGTTTGCCAGGAAGACCATCACTAAAAAGTGTAAGACATGTTGCCCTTCATGTTTCTCTTTGGCCACTACAGTGGGGCAAGACTGGGACAAGGTGAAGTGTCAGTGTTTTATGTTGGACAGAATGAGGACACAGAGTAGTAGCCTCTCCGTTCCCAGAAGTAATGACCCAGAGAGATTCACAGTATGGTGTGGTCTGAAGTCAGAGGATGAAAGATATGGCCTTTTAAGGTACTTTGCCAACTCTGTGATTCTCTGAGAGACTAGGTCCCATTCTAGAATTCCTTGAGTCTCGCCGTGGGATGACATCACAGCTAGGCATTTTTATACATTTTCATTTTTTCAGTCTCCCAACTAGGAGAAAAAAGGTTGGTTTTGTGGGATCTAGCATGAAGGAGATTACAAATGATGCTGCAATTCTTGAAAATATCTCCCCCACGGGTCCCAAGCAGAATCCTTCTAGGACTGTTCCTCTCAGGGCATTAAATAATTCTCTTGGGCTTCTAATATCGTCCCATGATTTTATTTCTTAAGAAACTTGAGAAAGTGTACAGCTTGTGAACTGTTTGTCCATCTACTCCGTCATCTGTCCACTCAGGAGCTTTTGTGATCACAAGGTGTCCGCTGGGCTCCAGGGCAGAACCCGCATCCTCAGATGATTGTTGTCATACACAGAAAATGAGGGAAAACAGCTAAGACCAATACCAGGAGCTCCCAAATGGCAGTTCCATTTTCATTCCTTCATAGAAATCATAAAAATCCGTAATAATTCATGGTTAGCAATAAACACAATCATTGTGCTGCACCGTAAACCACACCTTCTGGTCGACAGAAAATGAGAATGATAATAATTATTATAAAATAAAACAACAATGATAATAATGCCATAACTTAAGATCTGTCATGTAGTCCAGCTACAGGATTTATACAAAACGGAATAATTTAATGAAACAATACTGCTCTCTGTATAAGTTAAACATTTTCCTTTATCCTACCTAAGACCTATAAATTACGGACACTAAATTTTAAATCAATGACTCAACGTAAAGTGTAAACAAATGGAGGGATCAGACAAGCAAACGGAATTGCTCTAAATTCCCTCCTCCTTTTCCTTTTTGGCCGATGCAATCAGTGACACCCAGAGGAGGGCGATGTTTCCGTCTGCATTGGAAATGGATTAATACCTGTGTGTGTAAGTCTTTCCTGATGTCCAATATGAAGCAGTGTCAAAGCATCTAGCCATCCTCTCCTGGTCTTGAGCCTAGAGAGGTTTTTTGGCAGTAACTGATCTTGGAGACAGAGAAGGAACTAGGCCAACATCTGTTTTTATATAAAATTCTAGATAAAAATTTCCTTAAAGCTGAGATACATGAAGTACCTTGGGATGCTTCTCAGAGCCCATGACCCTGGAGACAGGAAGGACCTCATGCCTTGGACAATGTAAAACCTTTACAATCGCTGCTCAGCATCAGTTGTTCTTTCTAGAAATTTCCAAATCCAATTATTCAAAGCTGCATTGATCCAAATACATTTTACAAGTAGCACTGAACAAAAATGCTATCATGGTGGAGGAGGGGTTGCCTTTTGTAAGTTACTTATTTTGCCTTTATTCTGATAGTGGTAGCCAGTCACTAAAGCTTCTGGGACAGAATGAATTAACAAATAAAAACATGGGGGCTGGTTTGGGATTGGACATTGGGACAGACACACACCCATCCTAGCTGCCTTCAAAGACTGTTCCATTTAAATCATATAAAACTCTAGTAGACAAGCAACCTGGTTCCAGGGAGAGGTGACTCCATCTTCTCCATGTAGATGAACTGAGACATTCTGAGAACGTCCTTTGACAGATTCCACATTTGCTTTTCTAACACTGTTGGACATTCTTTTTTTCTTTTCTTTCCTCCTCAGGCTCTCCCCCCTCCCCTTTTTTTCCCTAAAAGAGGTGGTTAACAGGTGGAAAGGAAATAGGCTGTAAGAAAATGGCACTTGAAAAATCTGAAAAATCAACACATTGGCCAAGGTAATGCATTTGCTAAGGTAATGACTGACAGCATTAAAAAGGGAAATATTCATCAAGGACAAGGTTGGACGCTATTTGTAAGCTTCACTACCAAATGCTGCTTAAAATTTTAAAAATGAGATCAGCTTCCACATATACAGTTTTCTGTTTCCTCGTAGAGGAAGCATATACCCTCAAAGACCCTTGGGTGCAAGTATCTGGACTCCAGACTTTTTTTAGGTCATTTCCAACACCCATCTGGACAAGTTGGTTGAACACAACGTGGTCTGTTCACAAGTTACCTGGAATTGCTTTTCTTTTGCTGTTCTTTGTTTTCTAAAATGCTCAGTATGTCTTGCTCTGTGTCTCTTCAGTTACTTATGGCAAAAAGAACTGGTCCCTGTTCAAGTAGCGATAATACCTCCTAGCCCCACAAATCCCCAAGGATGTTGCTCCTAAATTCCACTTTTCTTTCCTCCTTTCTCTCTCTCTCAGTCTCTCTCTTTTTTTGCATGAAATTATTGTCTTTCTCTCTATCATATATAGTTCACTCTTTACAGTACAAAGTGTTAAAATGTCAAACAAAAATAAATATCAATGTTACAGTAGCTAGAATATTCAATAAAGTAGATCCCTGCCATTCTTGATTGAAATGTTCAGTGAGACTTAATTTCATTTGGATATTTTTTTCCAGAGATTTGCGAAGTCTCATGTTCCTGTTATTGCAGCTTATTTCTAGGGGTAAGAAAGATGGGGCAGCTCTCCTCCCAGACAAAAAAGCAGGGAGTGGGCAGAGTCAGAGGGTGGGATGGATTTGAGATGCCAGTATAGTTATGAGATCTTCAGGATGGGTATCCTTTCATTACCAGGTCGCAGAGCTGTAGTGTTTATTGGTCCTAACTGTGGCATCAGAACACTCCCCGTCTGAAGAGTCACAGTCCGATTCTTCAAATTGCATAGGATTCTGCAAAGTCAAGACAACATAAAACCTTGATTCCTTTCTGCAATCACTCAGTAAACATATTGAAAACCTCCCATGTGACAGGCACTGTGCTGGGTTGCTGGCTAAGGGGGCTACAAAGATAAGTGAACCCAGGCCCTGTCCTTGTAAGCTTATGGAGAAAGAAGACATAGAAAGCTGATGATAATGACGCCGCTGATGACAATGATAACAGTGCCCCCACAGCCCCACTTAGATACTGTTTGCTACGTTCCAGGCCTGCTGTAAGGGCTTCACGGCTATTAATCCACTGAATCCTCACAACAACCATATAAGACAGATGCGGTTATCATACCCATTTTACAGAGTAGGGAGCTGACCTACAGAGAGGTTAAGTGGCTTGCCCAGTGGCACACAGTGAGTTAGTAGAAAGGCTGAGTTTCGCACCAGGCAGTTGGGTTCTAGTGTACACAGTTCCAGCCACCAAACTAGCCTGCCTCTCAGAAGGCAGTACCATATGTGAACTAAGTGTTTATAAAGAGCTATGATAGCATCGCCCAGGGGCTGGTGGGGACGTGGAGATAGGAGGCCCTTATCCTTCAGCAGATTGGGAGATGGGGTCAGGAGGAAGTGATGCTTGAGTTAGATCTTGGAATAAAGGGCAATTCCGTGTTTGTGCTTGTTTGGGAGAACTGCCCCCATTTCAGGGAGCTCTGTCATCTCTGAACTTCTACTTATTTCATGGGGGCAGTTGTTTTATGTTATACTAAATGATGACTGTAAAGGCCCTAGGGACCTGAACCCAAAGAGCAACGGGCAGGGAACAGTGATGAGGAGAAGGGAGGAGCAGCCCCACCTCATAGCCACGATCCTCCACGCACAGCTTGCCCAGAGACATCTGCGTCTTCACACGGCGCACCGCACACTCCTTGTCAGAGAGCCCGTCCGAATGCGAGGATATCTCAATGGGGATCTCTGGTGTCTGGGACAGGAGGTCATCTAGCTTCTCTGCCAGGCGGTCTTCAAGTTTATCTGCTAACTCATCAGGACTGTTTGAGTGGTCACTGGTATTTCCCTCCTCGCCGTCAGACACAGAGAAATTCTCAGAGCTAAAGGTTGAATATGACTGGCAGCTGCTGATGCAGCGATGGGGCCTGGAATGACAAAGAACCAGAGGCACTTAGTCACCACCGGCTACTTTCCTTTCCTTGTCTGTCATTCACAGCCTCGGCGGGAGGGGATCTAGTTTTCTCTCTGCCCCGAGGGAGAATCAAATCCAGAAAGGTAGAAGCTATTTAACTAGAAAGCAACAGGGAGGGAAATCTGAATTTCCCTTTCATTTGGTTTATATGTTTACGTGGTTCCACTCTACACTCCAAAGCTGTTGGCTATCGCTGGTCTTTGAGAAAATGGGCTGGTCTAACGAGGCTGTGCACACCTGTGTGTGCCATGGCAAGGTTCACATTGAAATTATCCTTCTTATTCATAGAGAACCAACCACCTAGATTCTCAGAGGTGAAAGAGCCTTTGGAAATTCTCTGGTCTGACTCGTCTCCCAGAGCAGAAAACTGGAGGCAGAGAAGGGAAGTGACTTGTTCAAGACCACACTCAGACACCGCGGAGCTGCGGGTTGGGCCAGGTCTCCTCATGCTCCCTCAGTGTCCTTCTCCGTCCTCCCCCCTCCCCCAACGGGGCATGGTGGCTGCATTTCCCCTGAGCACAGCAGCCCTGGAAGGCCAGTGCCTTCACCACCCCTATTGCCCGGCCCCTAGAGAAATGAGCTCGGAGGGAGCACTCACTCGGCAGCTGTGGGCCCTGCCCAGGGTGGCTCATTCTAGTTAACAACGGGGTTTAGCTCAGAAGAGGCACAGTGGGTCAGGAATGAGGGATTTGTGAACGTTCTTCATTTCTTTCCCCTTGTTTACAAGTAGCCTAGTCACTAAGAATGCTGTTAGCTTACACTGGTTTAAAAAACAAAATAAATAATGAAAAGGAAGATCGCCTTTCCCCTCTGTCATCATCGGGTCTTTCTATATTTCTCAGTACAAAACGATTTTGATGGCATATGACCTGCAGCTGGCTGAGGACCAGGCCAGGTAATGGCCTGTGGGTATGGGGGTCAAGGACACAAGAAAAGAGGCTGGATGGAGGAAGCCCACGTGGGAAAGGGAAGTTAACGTAGGACTCACACGGCTTCTCAAGGCTGGTAATCCATCAGGGAGACAGGGAGAAAAATGTTATAATATAAAAAGCAAAACCATGAGGTAAAAACACAAACTTTGCATCATAACAAGAAAGAAAGGCGGGAAGCCATTGGGTAGGCTGAGTTAATGGTGTGTCATAGGAACAAAAGCTGGCAGTAACGTGATTGCGATGCCTGTTGAATGAGTTCAGAGGATGAAAAGACATTTTATTCGTGTTCAATCGCATTGCATAGGAGAAAACACAGCGTCCAAGGAAACAAATCAGCAAAGGCAATGTGGCAGATATGGCTCAGGGGATGAGAGCAGATTTCAATTCTGTACACAGCATAGGGACTCAGAATGCAATTTACCAGAGTACTAGGAGTCCCTTGGTTTCAGGGAATTCCTGTTTCCGGGCGGGCAGCAAAGCTTCGTGGAGGATTCCTGGAGTCTTACTTTCCATGAACGGAATGCCTTTTAGCAGAAAAGGCCTCCTGGGAGGAGAACTACCTTCTGTACTTCTACAGAAGGACAGCTCTTAGTTCTCCAAGTAGGGGAATGCAGTCCTTCTTTAGTCCTGCAAGCAAAATTATTATTGCTGGCTATGCAGGAAGCTATTTTTAAGGCTGGGTTGAAGGAGGATTCAACTCATCTAATTATATTTAACTGGAGGCATAAAACCCAAGGCATACAGAGTGCTATGAACTGAATTATGTCCTCCTCAAATTCATATGTTGAAGCCCTACCCACAATGTGCCTGAATCTGGAGACAGAGTCTGTAGGAAGTAATAAAGATTAAATGAGGTCATAAGGGTGGGGCCTAATCCAATAAGACCCTGACCTTATAAGAAGAGGAAGATCTCTCTTTCTCCCTCACCGTGTGAGGACACAGCAAGAAGGCTGCTATTTGCTAGCCAGGAAGAGAATTCTCACCAGGAACCTTGGACTTTGACTTCCCAGCCTCCAGAACTGGGAGAAATAAATTTCCATTGTTTAAGCCACCCTGTCTGTGTTTTGTTACAGCAGCCTGAGCAGACTAATACAGGGAGGTATGCTAGAAACCAGTAAAATTACTCAGAATACAGCGTGGCCATCTCATAAACTGCCCACTAAATTCTCAATTATAACTTTGAGTCCATATTTACTTTCCTCACCTTGAAGTTTCTATCTAGTGAATTCAGATGAATCAGGATCTGCTGTGCATAGCCAGCTGCCAAAATGGGCAGTGGGAAACCATGAACACAGTAGGTTCAAATTTCCCTATAGGACGGCTGTTAGAAAGTAGCCTGTGACAGGACCGGAGGTGTGGCAAACTCAGGATTTTCCCTGATCACACTGAAAGCAATCATATGTGTTCATTGGTTTTACCTCTGTCTTCGTGGAAATTCAACTTCACTATCTACTTCCCCTTCTTCCTCTTCAGAGGAGTCATCTCCACTCTGAGAACAAGGAGAAAGAGTCTTATTTCTCTCTCTTTCTCTCTCCTCTCTCTCTCTCTCTCTCTCACACACACACACACACACACACAGTCCCTGTAAAAGACTTAATTATCATCAGAGGCACTGAGTGTCATCTTTAAACATATATATCTTCATTCATTGATTTAGTAACTTTTCCTGGGCATCTATGATGAGAGGCGTATACTAGATGCTGCAGGAAATACAGAACTGGGCAAGATGTTACCTTTGCCCTCAGAGAGGTAAATGTGAGTGTCCAACATGAGTGATGAAGAGGGGAAATTGGAGAGGAGGTCTTGGATTTTGGGGTGGCCTCTTGTAATTATGGTCACTGGTGGTTTGAGGCTCTGACTTAGAGACTTCAACAAGAAATGATCTTTCAGTTCTTCAAAGTCCAACAACTTCCTTTTCCCCTTTTATGTACCAATCACCTTTTCACTAATATTGCAGATATTATGTTTATATCATCTGTACTATTAAGACCTACATTATTTGGGGTTGGACCACGTCTTGTCATATTGTATTTCTCCTCCACCACTAACACAACATGGCAAACAAAATAGATGCTTAGCACATAACTGAGTCAGCACGTGGGCATGGGTAAGAGAGCTCTGGTTGGGACATCTGAGGCCTGTGACTGCTGGGGCTCTGTGGCTAATCTGGAAGGGTGGGTACATCCCGTATAAGAACAAGATCTTCCATGTGAGGGAAGATTCCATCTCCCTTCAAGGGCATAGGAACAGCCACACTTAAGATCAACTGTCCTTAATCACAGTGTCACGATGCGCTGGATTACTACAATCCCTTGTGAGGTGGGTAAATGGGTCCAAAGAAGTATACCAAAAATTGAGGATAAGTTACTTTTAAAGTCAGTTCTAATAATCTATCACCCTTACCCATTTATATTCTGATATGCTTTTTTGAGTAGGAAAGCCAAGGATGGAGTTCTGACTGTAGAGATAGACTTCCCTCTAGAGTCCCCGTGGGAGTGTATCTGGGTAGAGAGAAGTTGAGCTGCTCTGTGGGAATGTGGTTCTTTGTGAGGCCAGATGGAGAAGGGGTGTGTTCCCGGGCCTGCAGACCCGCAGAGGCATCAAAATGGCATCTGGATGGTTCAAGGACACATGCTACTTGGGAAGGGACTGTGAAGTGGGTGAGCGCTAAAGAGTGCAGGGTTTCTCCCTAGCGTGATTAAAATATTCTCAAATTAGTTGTGGTGATGGTTGCAGAACTCTGAGTAAAAAGAACTGAGCCATACAGTTTAAGCACTGTATAGTATGTGAATTATATCTCAATAAAGTTGTCCCCCTCACCCCAAAAGAACATGTTACAGGTTCTAGGGGCAGAGGAGCAGAAAACGGATTAGCCCAAATCCACTGCACTATCTGAAACACGATTTATCTCTGGGAATGCACAGTCAGGAGCACACTGTATGTGGAGGAAGAAATACAGTTCTGAGACAGTGGCCCACAGCTTCAACTTCTTTTCTAGTAATTGTCTAGCTGACCAAAACATACTCATTTATATTTTAGACACTTTCATTCCTTCAGCTGAATTCCTGATGGATGATGATGATGATGTGAAACAACAGTTAGAATTGAGTGGGTGTTTTCTGTGCTAAATACTTTTCATCCATACTGTTACTTTTAACACATTAGCAAGATGAGCTCACATTTTTGGAAGGTTGCTATGTGCCAGGCCCTCTTCTAAATGCTTGATATGTACTAACTCATTTAATCTTCATATTCATCAATGAGGCAGGGTCCACTATTGTTTCCAGTTTATAGATAAGGAACAGGTGTTCAAAAAGGTACTAAGTGGAAGAGCCTGGCTTTGACCTGACTCCCAAGCTTGTGCTCTTAACCGCACAAGGTAGGAGAGGTGGAGAGCCGCCCAGCTAATAAACCACAGGCAGCCAGTGGGCGAGGAGGAGAGGAACAGGTTTCAGTGACTGAGAACTGGCGGGGTCATGATGGTTATTAATTAAGGCGATGTTTTCCCAAAATACATTGTGAAGAAAGCTACTTCCATGGGGGATTAATAGATGCTACTTTTAAAAGGCAGTAAAGGTCAAATAGGTGGAAGAAATGCTGGATTAAACAAGGCTACTGCATGATTTCTCAAAGCCTAGGTTTTATTAATGTGTGTTTAGGAGCCTCAAAGTGGGGGACAGAGAATACTGTTTCCCAAACTCGTTTCATAATGTGACCCTTCCCTCTTGCATCCCTTAGGACTAGGCGAGGTAGTGGTTTCCAAACTATTTTGATTACATCTCCCTAAGATCTGGGTATTTTTCTATTTATAAATTATGTTCATTTTGCAGCAGTCCCGAGTCAGTAGTTCCCAAAGTATATTCCTTAGTCCATCACTTAAGCAGTGTGGAAAGTATTAAAAGTAAAAGAAACCGCTACTTGTGCTTTTGGTATCTCATCCTTTTACAGAATGTATACTTTCTATGTACATTTTACAATGCACATGACATGACAGGCTCTGACATCCCTGGAAGGCAGTGAGCCACACTGCCGTTGTCACTATGCCTTACCTTCTGAAGGGGCCTTGTTTTTCGAGGTAGCACTGCGGAGGCGATGTGATGAGGGGTGCCAAGGGATGACGCAGACCTACAGCCGCTGAACCCGTTTTCTTCCGTTTTCTCAGAACCTTGGGCATTTTCCGAGAGGGGATTGTGTGCTGGTGACTTGAAGAGGTCGGGGCTCCTCCCCACCGGCTCAGCCGAGGGGAAGTCTAGGGACCCGCGCTGTGCTGGCCTGCACTGGAGGCAGGGGTCGTAAGGGTCAGCCTGATAGCAGTCCCGGTGGCCAGCCTGGCCCCTGTCAGGCTCAGAACTCCTCCAGCAATCTGCTGCCATGGCTGTGGAGATGAGGTCAGGGCTAGAGCCAGGCATCTGTCTTTGAGCGTGGTTGCTGAGTGGGCTCCTCAGGGCCGCCGCCGGGCCAAAATACCTCAGGTTGTTGGCGCAGGTTGCAATGTCCTGGCCGTGCATACTGAGTCTCGGGTGGTGAGTCTGGGATGCGGCAGGAGGGGGTTGCTGGTATTGCTGCTGCAGAGGATCATGGTGATGGGGAGAGGGGTACTGGGGCTGAGCCTGTTGTAGGTAAGTGGGGAGGGGTGAATTTTCCTGGGCTGGCTGGTTTTTCAAGATTGCTGCAAAGTCACTATGGCTGCCTCGGCTATTCCCTCGGCGGTGGCGGGGTTTGCTCCGATACCGGCTCTTGCTGCTGGAAGTGGACATTTTGGGACTTCCAGACAAAGGGGATGCGGTGGGAGCCACTTCTGTACTGGGGATACCTTCCGATCTCAACAGATCTGGCCTGGGAGAAAAGAACAAGGTTGGTTTTAAACATGTGAGAACACATTCAAGTTTGGGGAAATAAATCCCAGGCCTTAAAATACACATACTCTTCGAGTCAGTAGTTACATACACAGGGATTTATCCAACGGAGCTAATGGATGTGCACAAAGACGTATGTTGGAAGACGTTATGTTACAGCATTGTTTGAAATAGCACAAAGTTAGAAACAACCTAAATGTCCACTTACAGAGGATTCCCTTTACTCCTTCTTGATTTTCCTCTGTGCCTCACTAGCTGAGGTACTCAATCCCCTTTAAATTCTAACTCTACCCCACAGGCTTCTTGACTTCTTCCTCCTAGTGTCAGCTCTCAGCTTGGTGCCAGTTTGCCAAGGCATAGGCACGGGTGTTTGCCCACAATCAGAATCTGTCTGATGATGGATCTGGAGAGATCCTACAAGGGATCACAAAGGACAGAGATCTGGGACCAGAGAAGGAAACCTCAATTAATTAGGCAAGAGGCTAAGTTCAGGGAGTTTGGTCTAGACGTGGACTCCTTAAGGGCTGGGACTAAGTCATACCCACCTCTGCATGTGGAGGACACTAGCAAGGCCCCTTGCTCATCTGGTACTCCATAAACGTTTAAGGAAAGAGCAGAAGTGGGTGGGGACAGAGGAGGGAGAAATAGAGAGTCCAGGAGGCTTCGCAGAGCCAGCAAGAGAAGGGCTCGTGAGCAGTGACCTTGGCATTCTACTGTCTTCCTAACGGGAGGAGGGCCTCTCCCAGCCCGCTGGGCTACTCATGTGGATCACGTGCAAGAGGAAGCCAGAGCCTGCAGGCAAACCTCACACATACCGACTCCAAGGCATACAGGCAACCAATAAATGGTTTCTGAACTGATGAACCGATTCAGGGGGAGGTGCTCAGATACCAGGTAGTATCACTACCTCCTTCCCACCAGAGAGCAGCCCCACCTTCTTTGGGACCAATCACACACAAATCAGTTGGAGATTTCAGAGCTAGAGGGCCTAAACTCTTTTTTTTAATTGTTAAACAACAGAATCCTTTACTCAAGTGAAATATCATGAGAAACCCAGTATATAAAACAGATATAGTAAGAAAACAGGTTGGTGGCTGCCACTGGTGAGGGGTGGGAGTAGGAGGTTGGCTAAATGGATGAAGAGGGTCAAAAGGTACAAACTTCCAGCCATGAATATAATGTACAGTCTGGTAAGTATAGTTACCAACACTGTATTGTATATTTGAAAGTTGCTAAGAGAGTAAATCTTGAAAGTTCTCATCACAAGAAAAAAATGTGTAACTATGTGTGGTGACAGATGTTAATCAAACTTACTGTGGTGATCATTTTGTAATATATTCATGTGTTGAAACATTACATTGAGGTTAGTTGGCTTACGTCCATCACAAAGCTAGTTAATGGCAGAACTCACAACTTGAACCCAAGTCTTTGGACACCAAGGGTTAGTTCTCTCATTCCAAGCTTCCTCATGTTATGAGGTACTCAGGCTGTCTTACTGGACTATACTCACTGTGATGGGCTTAGTGGATCCATAATTGAATCCGGCTCTCTTCTTTTCAGTCCCTGACTAAACGCACACTGAAACCCAGGCTAAAGAACAGTGGATGGTTTCTCCTCCCTGATCGCCTCGGGGGTCACTGGCCTTCTGACTTGACAGTCACTGGACTGTTCAAATAATCTGAAACATAAATCCTCCCGGGGGCAATCAACTGCCCGGGGCAGCTCTAGAACCCACTCCAGGTCGCCTTCCTGGACACGTTGAGCTTGTCGGTTAAGCATCCACTGCTGCTGTCAAACTCTCAAACACATTTCTCACGAAGGAAAAGTGAACACAAGCTCATATGTTGAAAAATTAAACAGTGCTATTCTCTCTCCCAGTGCTCCTAGTTTTAACTGCCGGCAGAAAGCAGGGAGGAGCCAGCAGATGAACCCTGTGCCTAATTAGTCCACCAAAAGAAAAGAGGCGCTGGGATTCTTGGAGGGTGCCATCTGAAAACAATTTCTCAGAGCTTGGCCAGAGGATGGTCGGGCACGGCAAGTAAAGGCAACACTGGAATTAATCCATGTAGTTACTCCTCTGTGGTTGAGGTTTATATTAGTCCTGCACTGGGGGAACATCACTGTTCTGAAAGCTTTAAAACACATTTCTCATTACCTTTATTCTTACAGCATTTAGCTCAAGTCTCACTGACAGGTCTACACCTCAGGTTAAGGAACATTTCTTTCTTTTACATTAATTTAGGATAGAGTCAACTCTTCATTATTTGGGAGGAATGAGGCTCTAGCAGATCTTGGTAAAAAAACTGGCTGGAACAGCATTTTAAGATTAAACTAATGTAAGGAAAATGTGCTATAATTAGGGGAAAGGGAATCTTTAAAATAAATTTAGAAACATTTTTTGAGCAACTGTGATTTACTAGGTGATTTCACATGTTGTCTTATTTAAACTTCACAGAAGTCCCACATGGGAGTGGGACGAGGGAACTATATCATTAAATATCAGTGATTATCAAAGTGTCTGCTTTCGTTTTTGGTGGTGAATTTACAGGCACTTATTACATTATTAAAAAGAACCAACTAAGCGAATAAATGAAAGTGGGCCATGCATGGACCAATGTTGCATAAATCAAGAATTATGGTGTACTCAGTTCTGTGCACGAGGGGTCAAAAAACGAAAAAGAAATGTCAGGTGCTATATACCATTTTACCCATTGGGTTGAAAAAGGTCAAGTGACATGGCCCAAATCACAGCTTCTAATAGACAGAGTCAGGATTTGAATCCAGGTCTGTCTGGCCCCTAGTTCATTTCTCTTTTCACTATTCCATGCTAAGAGAATAAATGTCAATGCCTCAGAGAGGAAAAACTAGATTCTGGAGTCCATGACACACTCTTTCCCATCTTTCTACTCTATATCTAGAGGCAAGTGTGCTGACGATGTGGTACAGCATGGCCACATTCATCACCTGATAATGTATTTTAGGGGCTATTTTCCCACTTGTCCGATCAGGTCAGTACAGGTGCTCACCGTTTGGCCTGCATCCCAGGTCTGTGAGGCACGCCTTTCCTCTTCATGAGCTTCTCCATGGTGTTGGGGTGGATTATTGGACGGACGGGATGTCGTTTGTAGGTCCCAGGATACTTCTTCTCCACTGCTTGTTCACGCCTGAAGAATGAAAGAAAAAGCCAGGTCTCCATCAAGGCAAACAGAAAAGATGGGCAGGATGTTTTCACAGGCTAACTCCACCCACAGATTCCGGCCACACTTAATAGATACAGGCTATCTGAATAACAAGGCTGCTATTCAGGTTAAAAAGGGGAAAAAAGTACTAAATCCAAAGTAACCTGACTTCATTGTTTTCTTCAGCTGGCAGATGGACTTGGAGGCCAACTGTCCCTTCCCGAACGTGCCTCATGAGAGACACAAAGCACTGAAGTCCTACTTATTTTCAGTTGCTGCTATTTTGGTCAGGGCCCCAGGGTTTCTCGCCACTCTCAGGAATTCCTTGAACCACTGGCAGGAGCTGCCTTGCTTCCCCCAGTGGGCAGTGGGTCCCACTCATCCACATCAAGCTCTTCTTGAAACGAGGACCCCCTCCCTGAGCCATTCAGCAGGTTGAAGTTGCAAATGCCTGTCAAGCGCACGGTCCCCTAGAACCAGCTTTGTGGCAACTGCACTCAGCTGTAAGCCTCACTGGGGCAGCGGGCTGTGCGCAGCACATCCCCTAAGGCGCACTGGGTGAGTGAATAAAAGTTTCCAGCTCTGAGTATCAGCGACCTGGAGGAGTAGTACACCTCTGCTGACTGACAGGACAGACAGTGGGCTGGGTACTTACTTGATGAGCTCCTTCTCCCGCATTTCCAGCTGCAGCATGATGGCACTCAATTCCATGTACAAATTATTAGCCCGCTCAAGTTTTCTCTCGTAGTGTTCACGAATATCCAAAGCATGCCTGTCAAAGAAAACAGGAGCAGCGAAGTTGATCAACCCGGTTAACGTGGGGGAGAACTAAGGTCAGCTCTAATTAAAGAAGAACAGGACGGTTTATCTTAAAAGCATTTGCCCAAGGGCACTCTAAATTTAAGACCCTCTTGTCTGATGCAATGCCTCAGGCATGATGGAGTGGGAGATGGGAAATCCAAGTTTTCCACTTAGTTTTTCATTAAGGGCCACATTCAGCCATACAGAACAGCCATGAGGGACACAGATGAAATCTGAATGCAATTTGTATATAATTTATAGCCTTTGGCAGTGCTGGCAATATCTTAATAAGAACACAGTATAGTACACTCATATGTTAGGGGAATTATGCAATTAAAGCTGACACCACAATCACTCATATCGTACAGATCCTGTCTAAAATAGTAGTTCTCTCTGAACAAGTGTTCTATCCCTTGACAGATTATAAGCATCTTGAGGCCAGGGACTATATCTTATAAATTTCTGACCTTTCATATTACCTAGGACAGCGGCTGAATAAACATTAGCATTGCTCCACGGCTCTCTGTTGCAGAGATATAACAAAGGAGGATAACAAGGTCGGGGAAGACAGTAAGAAAGTGATATAAAGGAGGACCAACTTTTAGGGCAACTTTTAAAGAGAATAACAAAAACCAGCAGCGGAGAAAGGTCTGTAGAATGTGAAATGATTCACAAAGAGGGTTCCTGCTAATATCTGAAAATCTGGGAATAAAAAGAGGTGAAGAAACAGAGATCAGCTGACCTGAGCTCTTCTCTGCGCCTTCGAATCAGTTCTTCGTCTAATCGATGTATACAAGTTCCTTCACTTTTGATCTTCTCAAAGTGTTTTTTCACTTCTTCTCTCCATTCAGCCTGGGTGATGACAAATCAGATTTTGTTACTACTCTAGGAGTTTTTAATCCCTGATACAACCATAGGGTCATGTACAAGATTTCCCCTCTTGTACATGAAACTTGTAGAATAGATGTTCAATAAATATTAGTTGGTAGCAAAATGTCTCATGCTAGTGTATCTGCACACTCCACTCCATACCTCACCCCATTTTCTGTATTTAGTCCAATATTTGATGCTGTCTTTTCCAATTTTCTTGCAGTACTGGTCACAAGACACATCACAGCTGCCATACTGGCAATCATCTCCAGAACAAAAGAGCTCAATTTTAAGTCAAGATGGTGGCTGAGACAGCCTGGTCAGAGAGAACAGCTCTGCTAACCACGTGGTACATGCATATGTCAGTGAGCATATGATCATATTCACATGGGACCAGAATTCCTCTTAGGCTTTGTTTATGAAGGTATCTTGAGAAAATACCTGGAGGAGAAGATCCAAGGGGCATGAACAGCAGGAGATGGGAATAAAAATATGGGGACTTACACAGGAATATGGGGGTGAGGGCAAGGACAGAAAAAAGACGAGGAGGAAAAAGATCATGGCCAAACAACTTAGTAGTTGGACAAAAATTTTAGGAGAGGATGGATATCTAATATATAATTAAGCCTCTTCCAATTTCCTAAACCTTCAGTAAAGTTTCTGACATTCACCTTGATGTTGGATGAGTGTTTTTATTTGTTTGTTTGTTTTTTAAGTTAAGGAAAGGTGAGGAACTTCATATTTGGGTCAACAACAGGACAAAGATAAAGAAGCAACCACAAGATGCCAGGGATGAGGGTGGGGAGCAAGAATTTTAGGAAAGCAGGGCCAGAATGTCCATGAAATTATAAACCTCCCAGGAATTCACGGAAGTGTTAAAAAGGACATTGGCCTTTCCGTAAGCATGGAATTTCAGACCAATTTTAACTATGTTTTAGGAGGTAGGAAAGTCTCTGCAGAAATATAGTCTATAGGTCACTTCTAAAGAAACAGCTAAAGGAGCTGCTTCTTCAAATTATGCCTATACACCACCATCCCAAGAAGCTAACGAATTTATCTAAGAAAAATCTCCAGTAAAGACTAGATATGTAGCTAAGTGTTTCTTTTTTTTATCATCTTCTTCTAGAGCTATTCTATTACTTTTAAATTCATGTTAAAAATGATCTCTCTAAATCAAGGAAAAAGTTATGGTTAAGTAATTGTAAAATTACAGAAGTTTTCTCCCCAGATTTGCTGTTTCTCATTTATTTTTATGAAGGAAATTGTGTTGCAATTATTTAGAAAGTAATTATCCTGCAAATCTGTTTATAATATGTTAGATTGATCAATCTATCTATCTATCTATCTATCTATCTATCTATCTATCTATAGACTGACCATTGGCGAGAGATTTCTGTGAATCAACTTTCAGGCACCAAACCTGCCAAACAATGTCATCAGAAAGCCAAGATCTAGAATGCTCTGCCCATTGTTTGGTTAACAGTCTTTGACCGTATCTAAGCAGTAAATGTAGGTTTGGTTGAACCCCAGGTAATATTGTTCTCTCAGCCATCAGATCAAAGTCATGAAGTAGGAAGAGCATTTGAGCTTTAGGAGGCCAAAGATTGACAATTAAGAGCGGTTGGACCTAAAAGGGTAAGGGAGAGCCCTAAATGTGGGCCTTAAAGCATCTTATTTTGTGAAAAACGTCACTGGATCAAAGTCCAATGTGTAAAGAAGGGACCAGGAAAAGGAATACCTCCCTCTGGTGGTGAGGAATTGATATCACAGATCAGATTTTTTAAATTCTAGAGGAAATAAACCTCTTAACATCTAGTTTATGGGCATGTGAAACTTAAAGAGAACCTTCTGAAGATTCAAACTTATTAAGAAAGCATATTTCCCAAAAGAAGTTCCCTCCTATAAGAAGGGAAAAGGATGTGTGGGAAAACACCAGGTACTGATTAATAATGTGTTTTCCCCAAAGGTATCATGTTGCTGGTAGATATTAGTAGTTCTATCACATATACTTAGAATCTTTATATAATAGGTGTTCCAATTTGCACTTAATCTGCAATTTAGACATGTCTAGGCAGATCTGAAGAGATGGAGGGTGGGCAGGCTGAAGCCAATTTGCATAGAGATTAAGGAGTCTCTGAGAGAAAACACCAGGGAAGGGGGAGTCCTGTGTGATCTTGACCTGTAACAAAGCCACCAACACAAGGAGTGGCAGAGGCATTTCCCATTGTTTCACTGAAATACCTGTAAAACCTTGGGCCATAACCAGCAGTATTTGTGACCTTTAACAAAATATAACTCAACAGGGAAAGGAATAATTCATTGCATAAACAGAACAATGCACAACTTTGGTATCTTGAGAAGTTCAGAGCTTCAGTTAAAGCAAAAATCAGTAGCTCCTGGTGAGTGATGGTAGTGCCTTAAGGATACACAGCATCAACAGATGCCAGCTGGGGACTACAGTCTTTTAGCAGAAAAGTGTTAACCAATAAAGTAATGCCCAGCAGAAGCTAGGTGGAAGATTGCTGTTACAGCCAAAGTCAGTGGAAAGCAGGGCAGACGTTAATATGAGGCTATCTGAGAGCCCCACTCCTCACCGAGGATTTCTGCAAAAATGCATGTGGTGGGTGGAGGGAGGGAGAAGGTACTAAAGTCTTGTGTAAGCAGATAAGAAAAAGATATAGTGACACTTGGGTTATTACCATGAATGGGATCCTCTTTATATCCCAGATAAGGCCTGGGGAAGGCTGTAACATTAGAAGGTTTCTGTCTTCTCCAGTCTCTCAGTTATTCAGTCAACAGACTGAAGTTCTTGTACCCAAACTTTGTTTCTCTCCTGTCCCATAATATGGGTGTCAAAATGAAGCTGAATTAAGAGATGAATGGATAAATAAAACGGGGTATAGCCTTACAACAGAATATTATCCAGCCATAAAAAGGAATGAAGTTCTGACCCATGCGACAACAGAGATGAACCTTAAAAACATGCTAAGTGCAACAAACCAGACACAAAAAGACAACTAGTGACAACAACTGTATGATTCTACTTCAATGAAATATCTAGACTAGGCCAAATTGTTTGAGACAGAAAGTAGAACAGAGGTTTACCAGGGGCTGTGGGGAAGGCAGAATGGGAAGTTACTGCTTAATGAGATAATGAAAAATTTTGAAAACAGACAGTGGTGGCAGTTTTACAACACTGTGAAGGAAATTTACGCCACTGAATTTTACATTTAAAAATCGTTAAGATGTAAATATGAATATTTTACCACAATTTTTATAAAGTAAAAAAAGAAGTTGAGCCAGTTCCAGCCTCGCTTGAGGAATAGAGAAGCAGGATGCTGAGGGGCCAAGTAGTGAGAAATCACAGGTTCTGGCCAGAGAGGCCCTAGAGGTTGACAAGGCCAACTCCTGATTGGCACATGAGTCCTCTTCACTGCCTCCCCAGGTCAGGGCCCAGCCTGGGCCTAGCGCCTACTTGTTCGATGACATTACTCTTTAGGGAGAACAGTCTATCCCTATAGTGAGCTATGTGTCTCTGCAACTGCCAGCCTCTGAGTTTCTGGGTGGTCCCAGCCGTACTCAAAAGGAAACCAGAATGGGACAAGGGCAGAGGGTTGTGGAGGAGCTCAGAAGCAGGGCACATGACCACCTAGCCGCTGGGATCTGGGTCCAGGCTAAAATGTTTTTTAAAGACTTATATCAAATGGAATTGAAAACCAGGAGCAATAATTGCCTACTTGGAGAAATGGGTTATTGTCTAGGAATGAAGAAATAGCTTTGGCAGAATCTAATATTGTGCTGAAATTGGTTGCTTTGTTCATCTGTTCTATATATTGCTGCTTCTTTATACATGTGCTGTGGATGAGAAACAGATGAAGCATTTTCTCTCAGGATGGAGTCAGCTGGGCTCTTGGCAGCTCTCTTGACTGACAGTTCTGGGGGAAGGTGGCGACCAGCAGCTGACAACCATTGATTGACGGCTGATGCAGAGAGGATTTTGTGAGTGGGCAGGATGCGAAACCACAGGTACAAGAGTCCTATCAAAAGGCAAAACTATGTCCTAAACCATCAGTTCTTGCCCACTGGGAGAGGATAAAGTCAAAACACAATTAATAGGCGTTTCCTAGCTGCCATCTTATCCATCTCAGAAGTTCATCAGAAAAAGCATCCAGAGTGTAATAACCCAAAGGAGGCTTAATTCTTATAGCTTTGTGGGAGGTGAATAATAACATCTTACAATCAAACAGTTCTTTACAGTTTACAATGCACTTGCATTTTTATTTTTATTTTATTTGATCCTCACCAAAACTCCACAAAGAAGAGAAGGCATGATTCTCTTCATTGTTTAGATGTGTAAGCTGAGGTTTCGGGAAATTCAGTGACTTATTCCAAGACCACAGGACAGGGGCTTAGGTTCAAATCTGTTACTTTTCCAGTGCGTCCCTCGTTAGTTTATAAATACTCTATTTCCATGAGCCAGAGACAAATCAGTTTGTAAATAACTGAAAAATTCTAGAACTAGCAAAGGTAGCAGATTTTGAGCTATTTAAGGAGAGGTAAAATTTCATGCTGGGAGAAAAACGTGGAGGAATTTATGAATACTGGAAGAGTCCAATGCACGAAGTTCTTCCCTTCCATTCTTCCCCCTCCCCTTCCTCTCCTTTTCATATTTTTGCTCTAAGAGAACCTTTTCTGAGTTCAATGTTAATGCTGCATGCATTAATAAAAGTGAGTTTGTACACGTGAGGATACCAACTGTGGGTCCTTAGTTGTACTACACAGTGCTGTGCATGTGGTGGGTACTCAGAAAGTGTGGCACTGGCTGAGAAGTGATGCTGTGGAAGCATTCAACTAAAATCTGTTTAGAAGTTGATGTTTTCCAAGTATATACAGTTATACTCTCAATGGCTTGTGACTTAATACTCTCACTAAAGACTGCTTTTCGAAGTTGTGGTACATACAGTTTTATTGTAAAGGAAGCAAAGCTGTGACTGTAACCATATTGTAAAGTTTGAAAACATTCCTGGAGAGTACTCACTGTTATTCTCTTTCATTTCACAAAAGGGTCTAAGTCTTTTTCTGAATACTGACAGAAGAAAATATCTGAAAGATTTCTCATCCAGTAACCAATACCTACATGTACTTGTATGGATAGACAATAGTTTTAACAGTTCTAAGGGAATTAATTTACCTGAGTACATATGAAAGAACATAGGAAATGTCACGAAGTTATCCTCTTATTTTCTCTAAGATCGAACACTTTACTTATATAATAATCCCTCAGAAAACCCAAAAAACTACAGGGGCAAGCCAGGCTATTTAAAGACACACAGTGGGGAGAGCTAAGTTTGTGGGTTGTAGAGAGTGTGTTAGAACTTCGGGCCACAGGGTAAAAGTCTCTGATTTATCATTCCTTAGAAACTGCAAAAATCCCTGTGCTTTAATTAAGATATTCTCTGCTGTCTGATGAGTGGAGTGTCTCTGTTTATCAAACACCAGAGAAGCACGTACTCCACGTACTCTGGATGGGCCAGGTAATAAAGCACATTGGAGGACTTGTTTAACTCCCTGGGATGATGCCCCGCCCAGTCCAGTTTGCTTCCAAGGCATACTTTTCTGGTAGGTAAACTCATCACCCATTAGCGATGGGGGGCTATTAGGAGTAAACCGAGACACTAATTGGTAATAAAATGTCTTCTCTAAGAATGAACCTACTGGAAGTCAATGAAGAGATAGAATTTGTCTTGTAAAAATTCATTTTGGAAAGTAAGACAAAGCCATAGAAAAAGAAACTGGGTAATACTATGGTTAAATTCTACAAGCATAAAGGTATAATTTACAATCATCATATTTATTTCCAAAGCCATAGTTTCATCCTATTTTTACTCCTTTTGCCATTGCCTGGGTCTGACGAGGGTAAGGACCTAATGTATACTGATCCCCCACAACTCCCTATGCAATGTTGATAGTGGTTAGAGCATCAATCCTTATGCCATTTACAGCATTTTTACTTAATAGTCACAAATTTATCACCAACGCACCAATTGCCTTATAATGTGTGTGGTGGCAGATTCTCTTGTCAAGAGGTAAAGTCTGTTTCTCAATCTGGGCTAGCCTGTGAGTTGCACTGGCCAATGAGACCTTAGCAGGCATGATGCACGCACAGGCTAGAAAATCACCTGTGCACTGGGGCCTGTTCTCTTGCTGCATGTTACCCTGAGAAGACCACATGGACAAGCCCAAGTTTGCCTGCTGAAGGATAAGAGGCCACGTGGAGGAGAATCGAGGTGCCCTAGCTAAGAGCCAGCCAATCGGTGGATTTGTGAATAAGGCCATCTGGAACCAGTTAGCCTCCGAGTCATCCTGGCAACTGACTGCAGACGTGAGTGAGCCCAGTCAAAGCCAGCTGAAGAATCACCCAGAACAAACTACCAACCCACAGAATCGTGAGCTAAACGACAGCTTATTGTTTTAAGCCATAAATTTTGGGATGGTAACACAGTAAAGGCTAACGTACATTAAATTCTATTTCATTTGGTGCTACTAGGCAACTCAAAGTGAGAGAAAAAGTTCTCTCTGGGTCTAATTCTGTCGTGAGCTCTCTCTGGCATTTAACTTTCTTCCTTTGTACTTTAGCTTTTCTAACTTTAAGGAAAGCAGTATTTTCCTGAAGGCCAGCAGAAATTCTAATTCAAATGTATGTACACTACAGTTTTCTTTTTTTAAAAAATTCTTTTCCACTATAGTTTCTTACAAGATATTGAATATAATTCCCTGCACTATACAGTAGGACTTTGTTGTTTATTTTATACATAGTAGCTTGCAGCTGCCAATTCCAAACTTCTGATTTATCCCTCCCCTCTCCCCCACTTTCCCCTTTGGTAACCACAAGTCTGCCTTCTAAGTCTGTGAGTCTGTTTCTGTTTTGTAAATAAGTTTTTAGATTCCACATAAAAGTGATATCATGTGATATTTGTCTTTCTCTGCCTTCTGACTTCACTTAGTATGATAATCTCTAGGTCAATCCATGTTGCTACAAATGGCATTATTTCATGGTTTTTTATGGCTAACTAGTATACCTGTGTGTGTGTGTGTGTGTGTGTGTGTGTGTGTGTGTATAAATATATATATATATATAGTATGTATATATGTATATCACAACTTCTTTATCCAGTCATCTGTTGATGGCCATTTAGATTGCTTCCAAGTCTTGGCTATTGCAAATAGTGCTGCTATGAACACTGGGGTACATGTATCTTTTCAAATGAGAGTTTTCTCCGGATACATGCCCAGAAGTAGGATGGCTGGATCATGTGATAACTCTACTTAGTCTTCTAAGGAACCTCCATCCTGCTTTTCCACTACAGTTTTCATATCCTCTTTTCCTCTTCTCTTCAACAGTTTCACCAGAACCCACTATGAAGATGACATTTTGATAAATGTTATTTTCATGTAAGAGAATAATATATTCGAAGTGCTTAAAAACCTCCAAAATGTGTGTGGTGTCATTATTGCTTCACAATGAATAGTTACATAATTGTTATAAGAATCACAATACCCTCTTCCAGGAGTTATTTCTTCTCACTGAGAGTTTCCTGTCTGTCTGTTCAGTAGCACCTGGAAGAGTTTCCAGACTTACCTGCGACTTGAAGTAAGTTTCCTGTGGGGTGGCAAGTACATCTGCAGACGCGATGTCTAAATGCATGAGTGTCTGCCGAAAAGAAGGTCGGTTGCGAGGTTTACTCTGCCTAAGGGTAAAAAAAAATAGCTCGTGCACTTTAGAAGTTGTGTCTGGGAGGATAAAGATTTTATTCTACTTTATAAAAGACATTTTTGACTCCATGTGTGGCTATATCTCAGGCAGTTTTGATGTACTGAAGAGCAAAAGGAAACTGTAAGTATGAGGTACCTCTGATGATGAACTGGAAATCTCTAGGATCAGTGACCTGTTTGATAATAACGATCCCTTAGGACTGGTGAAGTAATGATAGCTATAATTTATAATATTTATAATTTATAATTTAGTTTACTGCTTCCAGATATCATACCAAATGCCTTCCTTATAATTTTTAACTACTTATAAGACAGCAACTTTGAGTAGGTGGTATCCCCATTTTACAGATGAGAAAACTGATACTTGAGCAACATGTCCAAAATTACACAGATGGAAAAGAGCAGAGCTAGTATTGGAATCCAAGGTTCTCAAATTCCAAGGCTCCTAGACTCTACACAAAGTAAGGCTATTCACTCCAAATATGCATTAGAGATTTCCCTGCAGTTTTAAATATGGATAGAGAAGTTTTAAACATGGTTCTGAGGAAAAAGGTAAAAGAGAACATTGAAACATATTTCTCACCATGTCTGCTTCATAAGGATTTTGAATCCATCAGGGCAAGTGGAAGGAACTGGAAGGTGTAGGCTATTGCTTCCAACACCCCAAATAATGGCTGAAGAGTCTACATCTTTGTACGGGATCTCTCCTGTCAGCAGCTCCCAAAGCACCACTCCAAAAGACCTACGGTAGCACCAGGAACATGTACATGAGACATTTCAGAAAGACTGACTCGTATTTTAGTTCTTTATTAATTTTTAATCAAATATAGACTCAGTTTTAAAATTCTAATAAGGAATTTTAACCGGCCAGGAAAACTCTGAAAAAAAAATTAATGAGGGGTAACCAACACTATCAGATATTAAGATATACAATAAGGTCTCAATAATTAACACTGGTGATAAATAGACAGCCAGACTAACGGAATGGAACAGAAATCCAGAAACAGACCAAATATATATAGGAATTGAGTATATGACAGAAGTGACATCTCAAACTAGTGGGAAAAACTGATTATTCAAATAAATGCTGTTGGGACAACTGGGGAAAAAAAGTAAATCTATACTTCATCTTACAGCAAGATAAATTCCAAATGCATCAAAGAAAAATGAAATAATAAAAATCCTCAAAGAACACTGAGAATTAAAAAAATAATCTTAGAGTGGTAAAGGATTTTCTAGTTAAGAAATCCAGAAGCCATAAAAGGAGAGACTGATAAACTGCTTAAAAAAAAACTTAACACAGAAAAAAAAATAACTCCACCATAGCAAAACAACAAAATGTGAAAACCATCTGTAATTCATATACACAAAAGGCTAATCGCCTTAACATATACTACTATTATAAGTTGATAAGAATAAAAGATTAGAAAGCTTAGTAAAGAATAAGAGTAGTTCACAAATAAGAAATTACAAAAGGTTCATAAACATGAAAAAATGTACAACCCTATTTATCAGAAGAGGAATAAACATTAAAACTGCACCTAAGACACCACTTTTTAACTTGTATGGAGGGGAGGGTATAGCTCAAGTGGTAGAGTGCATGCTTAGCATACACAGGGTCCTGGGTTCAACCCCCAGTACCTCCTCTGAAAATAAATAAGTAAGCCTGATTATCTCTCCCCCTAACCTGTATGGTTGCCAAAAATCCCGAAGTTTAATGCAGTCTGTTGGTGAGACTGAAAAAACACTCTTACACATTTCTGTTGGGAACATACATCGGTATAATCTCTAATGAGAACACTTTGGCAATAATCACCCAAATTACAAGTGATCCCACATTTCTACTTGATCTTATTTACTCTGGTGTTACATGCAATTTTAATATATGCTGTTATTTTGGTTTTAAGTCTAAAGTTACTACTAGCCAATTTAAAAAATGGAAGAAAAGCAACTATACAGAAATATACTGTTAATAGCAGGAGATACATAACCTCAGAGGAAAAGTTGATACAGTTTTTTAAAAAGCTCCCTCCCCCACTAAAAAAAACAGCATAGCCCATCATAGCTGTTTAATAAAAGGGCAAACAGCCTTGTACACCTCAAATAGGTCTGAAGCATATAACTGTATCACAGCCAAGTATATCATTGATATACCTAATGACAGTCTGAGTCACCAAGAGGTACACTAATATATTTTATTTAAGAAGGTGAGAATTACAAAATATGTTTCAGGAAGACTTTTCCAGTAAATGGCTATTTAAAGTAAACTTTTTCTAGAAAGTTCAGCATATTCTCTGAGGGTCCCCAGAACTGATAATTTACTGAATGGATATTCACCCTAATTCCTCCTCTCCCAATCCTTCTTACCATGTATCATCACGCTGGGTAGTACCTTGGATTATACGAGACTGAAATCAACCATAAGTGAGTAACACTCAAGGATATTTTGGGAAAGTAGAAAATGAAAGAGGAAAACACTAATAGGGTGAAAGTGGGAAGCTTTCTAGTTGGCACAGATGGTACCACTCACCATATATCAACTTTTTCAGAGACAGGTTCATTCCGTATCACCTCTGGCGCCATCCATGCGACTGTACCAGCAAAGGACATCTTGGTACTTTTATCACTGAGTTCCTTAGATGTTCCAAAATCTGAAATTTTTACTGCATCTGTGTGAGTCACTAAAACACTTTAAAGAGAAATAAAGAAAACACCCAGTTCGTTAGTACTAATGAAAATCTTAACTAACTGGCAACTGAAGATTTTGTTTGCTGCCTCCTACCTTGCAGAATTCAGCTTGCAAGCTCCAGGACTACTAGGGCCTTAGCTATACACCAGAAACAGCATCATTCATACTTGTGAAGCAGCATAACACAGTGGACTGCCTACACCTGGTTTGATCCTGCCTCCACCACTTGCTAACTGGGTGACCTTTGCCAAGTTACTTAATTCTTCTAAGCCAGTTTTCTCATCTGTAAGATGGAGATAATTCAGCTCACAGTGTCTTATCCACAATTCAAAAATCTCTGAAAATGGTTTATAAATTTTTTTCATATATTTAAGGTAAACTCAAATTATTTATCCCACTTTGTGCAACTGTAAAGGTTTTGCTACAGATTTATGTATGTGGCTGATTACAGGGTGTTGCCCCAGACTTTGCTGGGTATAAGGTAATGCCCGATGTTACATTTCTGAAACCATCTGATTTCAAGGGTTTTGGATAAGGGATTATGGGTCTGTAACAACAGTCTCACAGAGTTTTCACTTGAATTAAATGAGGTACGATATGTAAAGCACCCATCTCAATAAATACTGGTTTTCACCCCTGCTGGTCTCAGACAATCCAACAGGAAAAACACTTCTTTTAAAACACTGTTTAAATGATGGCCAATTAAAATCACACGTGGGACCACGACACAAGGGATTCATTACTATAAAAGGCTAGTAAGTGTGCTGTGATTCCATTAATGTTGATAAGGAAAAGCAGAAGTAAAATTAAGCTTAAGTAGATTCCACACAAGCCATGTTTTACTTGTTACAGCAGTGATCTGAGATGTGATCTCAGACTGCTTTTGCTAGCCCTAAAGTGAGTGTGGTAGCAGTCAAATCCAAAGTATCAGCATCCTCACACACTAGACTGGATTCACTTGAAATAACCTGTTTAGAACTTTTGAATGATAATCAGTTAGGGTTTCAGAAGCTTAATGATATAGAGACCTATTTTTAACAGTAAGAAGGCTTAGTACTCAAACACTATCAGAATCAAGGCAGCTAGAAAACAGAAAACTTCTCAATCCATCTCCTCTCTTCTCTATTTGAACCAGGAACTTGACATTTGCTCCCCTCCCCACCAGTGTCAGATGGCTCTCCTGCAAATAGCTCAGTGCTCACAACTGAGGTAGAATACCTTCATCCATATCTTACTCCTGGTTTTGCACCTGATATACAAAATTTGTATAATTTAGGAATTTCAATTTAATAGTGTTAGTCTTCATGAAAATGCAAAAGGATTAAACTATCATGGGAGATCTGAGATAATTAGAGGATTGATGGTATCATATACAATAAAAAAAATCAGAAAAAGTGATAAGCTGCTGGATGGAAAAACACTAGAAGCTTCCTCTTCTGCCTCTTTTGTGTTGCTCATGGGACTTGTTGACATGACAAGAGGGAATGGATGTGGGAGGAGACGAGAGAAGACATGACGCTGGAACTTCGGTGAAGTCTTCTGAGATAAAGTTGGGGTCACACAGCCTAAAGATTAGCATAGGTAATGAAATCTCTCTTTACAGCAGATTGGTCTTTGTCTTCCCCATGTCAGCTTGGAAACCAAAGAGGCCAAAGCTGCTGGCGGTTCGAGGTGGTGCTGATAACAGGGAAAGACTTACTGGATAACCAACTTATTACTCTAATCTTTAATGACAAGAGTTAAAGAGAGTAGCAGTGATTTTATATGTTCTAAAATTTCTTGACTACTTCCTCTAAAATTAATTCTCAAGGAGAACAAGGTAGTTAAGAAGGCCGGTCAAAGAGTTCTTTGGCAAGTATTTTGTGTACTTAATGTGTATGTAGTGGATGATAAAAAAACAACATATTGTGTTAAAAATGTGAACAGAAGGAATGAACACTATAATATAGTTTATTTGCAAGTAAAGTGAGGAGAAGGTTGTTCAGTGAGCTAATGACTGTAATAAATGTTGTTGAGAATTATGGTGATAAATAAGAGCTGCTTTGAAGTTCATAATCAAGGACAGATTTGTATCTTCCACGGAGAGGAGGTAGGATTCATTGTGAACCCCTCATCTTCAAGTGAAGAGAGAGGATGCAGTAGTTTCTGGTTTAAAAGTTCTGAGTTCAAGTCCTAGCTCCATGACTTTGGGCTCTGAGCTCTAGATTTCTTATGGGAAGTAAGAATAACACTTGTTACATCTATCTTATACATTTTTTGCCAAGATCAAAGAAGATGTGATAATGGATATTTTTAAATGTTGTAAACTATGAAAGCACTATGCAAATATATTTTTAGAAAAAAATTATTCTTTGCTTCTCTAAACCAAAGTGTGGTAAGAAATGATGAAAATAATTTTAAAAATAGGAGTTACACTGAATTACACCATTTAATCAGTTCCTTTCTTTCCTTCATGCAACTTGGGGAACTGAATAAACATTCCTCTTAAAGTAGTTATTTTGGCAGGCAAAGAATCATTATGAAAACAGAGATGACGAGAAACAGCTCTGCTTCTCTTAAATAACCAATTTACATTATTTTATGGGCACTGTGAACATTGTAACTACTTGTTTCCTTCTTTGCTTAGACTCTAGAAAGCTCAAAGCCAAATGCATAGTCCACCTCTAGCAACTGTACAGAATATTATGGCCTACATTTTGTGGACAAGCTTTAGTTCTAATGTTTTTCTTATTTTCTCTTTGCCTCTGTTTCTTATTCATCCATTTTTATCCTGTTGTAGTTTATATATTTCTGAAATTCAGTTTTTAAGGAACTGTTTCTTGAAGGGGAACACAATAGAAAAACAACAAATGACATCTTACACTGGGAAATTCTGACTTCAATTATCTGAGATGATGAAAAGTGAATACTTTAGTTAATAATAAACTTTGTTTCATAGCTGTACAATTAAAAAGCAACAAAAAGGGAAAACTAGTGTCAGGTGCCTGGATATCTGCCATACAGGTAAGTAAGTAGGTTAACAACAACCCCCCAAACATGCAAACAGAAACACCCACTGTGCTAATTTAAACTGAACTGAAGTACGATACAATGCCATATTTCAAAACAATAAAACAAAATGTTTGAAAAATTAGCCCCAGAACTCACTTAGGTGATTTGAGATCACGATGAATAATCTTATGGAGATGCAAATAATTCATTCCACTTGCAATCCCGGTGGACCAGTCTACTAGCAATCGAGGTGTGATCTTCCTGCCAGCTCGCAAAACCTCATAGAGTTGTCCATGGGCACAGTATTCCATGATGATACAGTAACATGGGGCCTGAGTACAAACACCCCTTTCAGGAAAACACAAACATGTATATGAATACACACATACATGTAAACATACATGAATACATATTTATATTCTAAGAATATTTAATAAACAATAATTAAGAGTTCTCTATCCAAATTATTTTTAAAAGGCATATAATCTTTCCTGACTCTTAAATTACCATTAAAGTCTCTCTAGTATACATGTTTCTCTGTTACGTGTATAGACAACTTTAGTTTGTTTTGTTCACTCCATCTATCTATATGCTTGCCATGTTTTACTGATGCTTTTTCTGTGGGACTGTTCTATTTTAGGACAAAGAGCATCTTTTCTGGAGGCTTGTGTAGGCTGGGTATTGCATTTTTTTCAGTTGTTAAGAATAATTTAAATACTTTCCTTTAAAAATTAAATAGGAAGTTTTATATATAGTGTACAGAAGAGAGAATTCAAATGAAATATTGCTATTTTTACTACTATTTGTTGAATTTTAAATTACTCAAATTTAAGGTAACTAACTAGAATGAGGACCGAAAAAGAGTCAATCTTCTCTATTATACAGGCTTTGAGAAACATTTCTGTTTAGGAATAAAAATAATGTTATGCAACATATTATACACCTATGCAGCTTCTATTTCCATCAATTCCTACATCTTCCACAAAGCCTTTCCTGATTATTCCAGTCTAAAAACATCTTTCTCTTCTCTAATTTCCTACATTTTCTTTTTTGCTATGCAATTTTTCTCTCCCTGTACAGATTATTGGCTCACTGAAGGAAAAGAACTTCAAGCTCTTTTGTTTCTACCACATGGCTTAGAAGTCCACAGAAAGTCCTTGACAAATTTTTCTTAACTTCACCTTAATGTTCTTTGCTGATAAAGCCTTTGCACAAGCATGTGCAGAGGCAAGGGGTAAGAGGAAAGGTAGTAACGTGAAAGAACATTTTCTATTTGTCAGGCATGTTTACATGTTAGTTAATTGTCTTATTTAATCTGCCCCAAACCACTGTATGATAGATATTACCTGGTGCATTGCTACAGGTAAAGCTCAGAGAGGCAAAATGACTTATCTGAGACCTTACAACTAATACATGACAGAGCTGGGATTTGAATCCAGTCTAAGTTCAAAGCCCACACTCTTTCCACTCACTATGCTACACTGCCTCCCTTCTAGGTTTTTAAAGTTTATATAGACAAGCATATTGGGGATTCCTGAATTACTACTGTTGTCTTATAAAAGTGGGAACATCATATTAACCCTACTTCACAGTTTTGTTCTAAGAATGAGAAAAGAGAAGAAAAATTACCATGAGGAACTCTCTGTGTCTTTATCTCTCAATGATATGCATGCCTTCCTCTAAAACTTTCTGGAGAAGTTAGGAGAGTATTCTGCCTACAAGGCTCCCAGCTAAAGTCCTCAGCCAGCTACCAATTCATGTCTTATCTCTTAGGCTACGAAAGTGGTGAAAGAATTTAGAGGCCATGGCTTGTGATCATGTGAAAGGCTTATAATAGCAACAGGTTACAAAGAAGTATCATTAGTTTTCATTTTTCCTGCCTTGATATGCCTGTCAAATGCCACAAAGCTATTTCTATTGCTCTCCTGCCATTTTCTAAGAAACCTGGAATTCTTATCTTGATTTAAAAAAATTTTTTTAACTTTCTTTTACTTCACTTTGAGGAAACTTCAGTGGAGCACAAGTGTACAGGAACTACAAACAGACAATGGAATTTTCACTACAGAGAAATAATGAATAAGGGCAGAAATAATGTAATGTGCTTAAGAATATCAAAACAAATATTGGTTTGAAAGTAGTCAGTATCCTATTCAACCATGTTTTAACTTGTCACACATTGACAGAAAGAGTCTAACAGCGATATGTTATTCACTTTTCATCTTTCTCGACTGACAAATGAGAAGCAATCATTCCATCAGCCCTGTACTATGACAAGGTTCCTTAGTAGCTATAAATAACAGCTCTATAATCACTTCTAATTGCTACCTTTTCTTCCCTTTGGCACTCAATTCCATTAGGGACAGGCAGGTTGGGTATTCTTAAAAGATTGCTTAAAAAATTAAAAGACAAAAAGAATCTAGTATTTTCTTGCACTTCCCTTCTGTACATGGTTCTTAGTAACTTCAAGAGAAGCTGAAAGCACAGAAATCGGTATCCAGAGAGACGTACCGAAATGTAATCATGCTTTCATATCTTCCAGACGGTCCTGAATGATTCATTGGCCAAGCAACACATGGCACAGATGGCTGCAAACATAACACTGCACAATGCCTCAAGAGCATGGTGTAATGGGCCAGGGACACAGTCTCACTATTGTTTTCCATGTAGAGGTAAAGACTATTCAAACATCTTCAGCCTAAAGAGTTGGACACTAGCAGAGCAATTCTTGTCCACAATGCTGAAAACTGTATGCGCAGGTAGGAGGGTCAGTAGGGAAAAGATTTGAAGGAAAAAGGAAGGAGCAAAAGAAAGGAAAAATCAAGCTTGTCACTTCTATCCTCTTAGGACATATGTCTACCTTCAGGTACCTAGGACACCCTGCTAGAAAAGTCCTCTTACCTGAGACGCACAGCCTAGCTCACTGCCAGAGGCCAAAAGGCCATGCTAATCTAAATATTCAGTGTCTCAAACCCAGCATACCAATGACTCAAGCTTAAAGTCTAGTTAAATAAAAGGCTCTTCCTTCCATTTAGGATGGTGGACCATACTGTAATAATGATCATCTCAGTAAAGTAAAATGAAGGTAAGAAGTGAGTCTCTGACAGTCTGCTTAAAAACAATCCTCCTATCGTCTTTTGAAACTTACCATCTTGGGAAGATTACAATTGTTCTCTATAGCATTTTGTTTTAGTCTCACATCTTCCTGGCCCTTCTGGGGCAACCAATAATAGAATCACTACAGTCACTGAAATTCTCTCCCATGTCCTCTACACAGACGTTCCTGCCACATGGAAAGGAGTCCAAGGATGTCATTTAGTATCCCAGTTGAACACTTTTCTTCTTTTCACACTTTTTTTCCCTTTCCATAAGGAATCTTATTTGGGAATCAAAACTCAACTGCAATACACACTTAAACTTATTCTACAAAAACCTGTACCCAAGATTTCTATTCCTTACTTTGGGGATATGCTTCCAATTAAAAATTATTGCATGACATGTTTAGATCTCTAATGAGAATTTTATTACGAAAAGGATCTCTCTTGGGGGCAGGAAGGAACTCCTCCTATGTTAGGGAAGGGGAATTTGTATGTTATTCCACTTTTAGCTGTAGCATCATTGGTCATACTATTTTCTGGAACTGAAATATATATAAAAATACACTAAGAAGCTCTAATTTCTAATCTTTCACCCTTCCTAAAGGCTACCTTTCCTGTCCCTCATCAAAAGGAAAGTGAGGAACAGGAAAAGGACCTCCTTTTAAGCCATTCACCATTCATTTGTTCAAGGCTAGGGCAAAATTTCAAGGCTGGTAAGAGAAGGAACTCAAGGGGAAGGTACAGGCAGAAGAGATTATACATATTCAGAGCTCAGCATTGCCGAGTTTGGTGACTTTCACAAATTTACCTTTGAATCTCTCCATTTTCAGTGTTATGAAAATAATGGTCTAAAATAGAAAGATACATTCACACACTCTTGAAAACAACCACTTTGTGAAACAAATATAGCATTTAGTTTACTATCATTACTTTACTATTATTAGATTCAGAAAGTTGAGGCTTTGGCATTCTTTGAAAAGGGACCTAGCAACACCTGAAGCAGGGAGAAATTCTCTGAAGATACCTGCTACTACAAGTTAATATTTAAGAAGAGACACCAAAGGAAACTAATAAGAAAATACATCTCTATTTACAAAGAACTAACTGTTCTGTGATCACTTCAGATGTTAGCTTTGTTTTCTTAATTGAATTTTAGGATGTTCAGGTTATCTTGAAGGGGCCTCTGTCATCCTATTGATAAATGACATTGATTCAGCAGATGTGACTGCTTGGCAGGAATAGATTCCTTCTCCCTCTCTGTCCCACGTATATCCCTTCCAAGCAGTGTGTGCTCTGGCAAGAAGAACTACAAGATTATAAAATCCTTAAACACATGACTCTAATTGGATCATTCTTTGCAAAGCATCTAACACAGTGCTAAGTCTACAGAGTGTTCTTCACATGTCTTTCAAAGCAGGAACTTACATGTATATATCAGGGGAAAGAAAATCTATTTCTTAAAAAAAAAGGCCTTGACCTACTTGAAAGCGATGATGTTAGGGTGCTTCAACTTCCTCAAATGCTTGATATCCGTCTCGTTTTGTTCTCTCACTTTCTTGATGGCCACCTCCTCCGCTCGGAACTTGCCCAAGAAGACAGCTCCCTGGGCTCCACTACCCAGCCACTGCAGCTCTGAGATCTCTTCAAATGGCACTTCCCAAGTATCTAGGCACATAAGCGAGACACAAACTTACAGAGATCTCAGCATTTACTCAGGGACCATTCTACCATTCTGAAGGCATCAACTTTACCATTACCCAAAATGACCTCTATCCTTTGTCTCCCACCTGGTAACTTGCTAAAAGATATAACCTTTCCATGAGTCTTAAAACTATAGATTAAATATTCACGTGTATTAGTTTGTATCAATTTTTATCCAGTGAAACCCAGCAGATCAGAGATCTCCAATATAATCGCCTCCAAATGAAACATATCGCAACACTCCCACGGCCCCACCCTCCTCACTTTAAGCTTGTACGTTCAGTCAATTCACCTGTCTGTCTCTACATCACCATCCCTACCCCATCACTCATTATAAGTGTTGTTTTATTCCTCTTTGAATTTCTAGTACAGATGCTCAATTAATCCTCGCTGAATGAATTTTCAGTGATATTCTCCTAAGGATCTAATTATGTATAATAATTATACTAGTAATTATCTTTTATTTAATATTTACTATATGCCAGACATTAGCATAGTGCTTTAGATCTGTCATGTGTTTAATCCTTACAACAATCCTACAAGTCTGGCTTTATTATGGTTATTTCAAATGAGAGAACTAAGGCACAGGGTAACCATGTCTTAAATAACTTAATCAAAGTCATATAATTGATAAGTGGCAAACCTGGGCCCAGAACCCCACAATTGGCTGAATCCAGGGACACTGCTTTCTCCACCATACCACATTGCCTCTCATGAAGTAATTGGGAAGGTCATTGGTTATGATATAGTTATTCATATGGATGTAGTATTTTCAAGTTTCTCTTTTCTCAGAGTTTGATTTTTTTTTTTTTGGCACCAAAAATGTAACGGGGTCATTTCTAAGTGGTGGCATTATTGATGATTCATGTTATGTTATATATCCTTTTCTGTGTGAAATATTTTTAACCATAAGTCTATATATTTTTTTATTGAAGTATAGTTGATTTATAATATTGTGTTCGTTTCAGCCTATATTACTTTTATAATGAATAAAATGCTATTTAAAATAGATACAAAATTCAATCAATATGTGCTTTGATCTCTAGAACCTTAAAAAGAAGAATATAATCCATTGATTTTTCTCTGTGTCCCCCTTTTTGCCAGTGCATTATCTCTGCAACGGTAAGAAGTGAACATCAAAGAGCTAGGAGCCCCACGGAGTGAGGCGAGGATGGTGACAATGCGAAAGGTTATGAGAGATTCTCATCAGGTTACCGATCACTTAAAGGACACTGTTTGCAGAGCACTGAACAAAGCAGTGTTGAATTAGCTTTGAAGATATTCCGATCTTGAAAGCAAGTTAATTCACTATCTACTACGTCGATGAAGCAAGTGCAGGAGTTCATCAGTATCTAGAAGGGAACTACATTTCCCTCTTTTCTAATTTTCTCTACTTTAAGAGAAAAGAAATTCTGTAGGTTCTGAATAAAATGCCTTTTTTCGTTACAATGGTCAAAACATGACCTTCAAAATGTAACTACAAAGAGCAGAAAAAATTATAGTGACGGTGATTAACAGCATGGGCATTTGTCCCAGTCTTTTGATATGAGCAGTATTAAAGGTTTCTGCTCTATTGAAATTGAATAGATGTTATACAAAGACAAATCTCTCTAAAATACAAACAGCTCACAAATATGAAATCACCAAAGGAACAAATATACCAAGTGATATTTGGGAGGAAACAGTAAGTTACAGACTTGACTGCTTTCAGTAGCTTTGTGGCTTCTAATGACTTTGATTCCCACAGGCTGACTTGTGTGGCACACATAGGACATAGGTATTGATGGCTGAAGAAAGCACCAGCACTGGATTCTGAGCAAGAGTGTAAGTGGGCAGTAGTTCTCAGGATAACGTTATGAAAGCCCAAGTTACTGTAATTTTTAATACATAACTATTAAAACTAGATAATCTTTGGGTTTCCTTTCTTTTCCTATTTACTCAATCTTTATTTACTGTTAAGTACTAGAAACAGAATATATTAGAAAAAACAGAAAAGCACATATTTTGTCTGAAATCCCATCTCATATTCATTTTCATCTTCCAGTCTTTGCTTATATGTATATCATATACGGCTATGTAAGAGTTTATGTGGTGTATATTTTTTCTATTTTTTAACGTATTCCCCATTTATTTACAGTTTTTATTATAAGCTTAATAGTTGTTTACTGTACCTTCTTACCTTTTTTTGTACTTAAGTGTTTCCAGTTTTTTATTTGCCAATTTAAACATGATCCTTTTTTCTTTCTTTGTATTATTTCCTCAAATTTAATCCTTAAAGAGTTTCCTGGATCTTGGTATACATTCCAAATTGCTATCCAAAAGCATTTTGCTAGTTTTTTGCTGACAGTAGCAAAGTATGAGTATGTCTCTTGTGCTACAACTTTACCAGCAATGAATATTGACAATTATTTTTTGGTGCTAATTTAATTAGGTATAAAATAATGTTTTATAAGTTTGCACTAGTTTAATTGCCAGTGAGGTAGAATATTTTCTCCAAATTTGTTTAATACATCTTCTTTGTATGAATTATCAAATTTATCCCTTGTCTACTTATTTATTAGGGTCCTGCCATTCCCATAAACTTGAAACAGCCTTCTATTTTTTTGATACGTAGGAAGAGACTTTTTATAAAAGTATTTTCTTTATTTTATAATGAATTTTATAAATACAGTTACCCTGTTATTTCATAGTTTTATTATGTTTTGAACAAAGTATTTTCATAGATGTCTGTCATTTCCTTTGTAATTTCTTCTACTGTCTAATCTATCTTCTAAGAGTGATCTATAGTTGATTTTTCAAAAGTTTAACCTTTACATCTGAAGTTTATTTTGCTGTATGTGGTGTGAGGACTGATGCAAATTAATTTTTTCGTGTTGTTATTTAGTGATTCAAAAAATAAGTTGGTAAATAATCCTTCATTTTAGTATCATTTTATAATGTTTATATTGTAATGTACTATACATATTTTATAAATAATTCCTATTATTTAGTATTTTTATAAAATGAGAAATAAATTATTGAAATTCAAATGATAGGAGGGAGGGGCAAGATAAGAGTAGAGGACTAAGGCACAAGCTACTCTCTGTAAAATAAATAAGCTACAAGGATATATTGTACAGCACAAGGAATATAGCCAATATTTTATAATAACTTTAAATAAAGTATAATCCATAAAAATATTGAATCAGTATGTTGTACACCTGGGACTAATATAACATGGTAAATCAACTATACTTCAAGTTAAAATAAATAAAATACAAATGATAAATATATTTGGCACTCAGATGCCAAATGTTTATATTATAATAAATAATAAGAATTTCCTTGACCAACAGTGGCTCATGCCTGTGTTAATTCAGCTATGTTCATCCGAATCTTAATTATCCATGGAAAAATAAAGGGGATAGCATTGGTAATTCAAGAACAGAGTGTAAAGTAATACTTCAATCCCCTTTCCATCAATCTTTTTACCAGAACTAATTACCAGACGTAAAACTGATTGATGTGATTTAGTCCTATCTATCCAGTCCCAATGTCTCTATCAATTTCTAGAAGGGAGCCAATGAACAGGAAAATGCCAGCAAAAAGAATGTTAGTGACAAGTATGTGCAAAATTGGGGGCCTAGATCATTGAGGAGCAAGATAACTAACCTCATAATGCTGGAAACTGGCTGTGCTCCCTCCAAGGTTAGCCCAGACTTTCTGCTGCTTTTACATCTGTCCCATTGGTACTCTTTGCCAGCTTTTATCCTCTCTCTGATTCATCACTATGACTACTATCTTAATTCCAATATCCACCATGATCCCTAGGACTGAGAAAAAGCCACATGCCCACTCACTTTAATGTGTAAGTTCATCTTTGTTTATTCAGATGTGTCTATGACAATACTTGCTTTGAGACCGGAAACTATTTGGCAATAAAAGATTTCAATCACACATACTACCTTACTTGGACTTCACTACCAACATACTAAATGGGAGATGAAGGTATCATTAAAATTTTTTTAAATCGAGTGAAATTTCCTCATAATACCAAACACAGGGACACATCTGTTCTATATATCATCCATTAGTTGACTGTAATCCAGGATTAAAGATTAGCTCCCTGATCCCAGAGCTGACAAGAAAAAAAACTACACTCAGTTTCAGGCTAGCGAATCTCTCCTCTGGCCCACAGCAACACCTGCTCACAGTAGGATATCCCATCATCTGCTGAGGAGTTGGGCAACTGCCGTACCCTTGTAAGCTTAAACTGAACAAGTCTGTATCTTATTTATTCCTGAAATAAGCCGTTCTGAAGATCACATAATCAATTGGAAGACAAATTAAATACAAACTTATAGAACATTAAAAAAATTAAAGGCTCTTTTTAACAGACATAGGATGTGTCTGTTAGCCCCCTTTAAGTCTGAACCTCAGGGCTGCATTTGGATCCTGAGACCTCCAAACTGCCACCAAAATAATTATTAGACTGGACAATTTAAGACTCTAAAAACCAAAGGAGTTTATCACATAAGCAGATATTAAGAGGTTTTGTGTCTAAGCAGAGAATAAGGAACTTATAAAAAATAATAAATTAGGGGTAGCTATCTCTGGGTAGTGGGATTACAAGTGATTTTTATTTTCATCTTTGGGTTTCTCTTTATTCTCAATTTTTGAAATAATGGTACTATTTAACATAGGAGTCCCCAACATTTGTGTGACAAGGAACAACTTTTAGATTTCCCTACAACCTTAAGATCATAGAGGGGAAAAGGGGTCGAATGTCCAGAGTATGGCAGTATGTATGAAAGAGAGAAAAAAATAGACAACACCTAGGGACTTCCAAAGAATTTCTGCATGGAGTAGGAATGGATGCTGTGGTTGACAAATCCTGGAAAGTATACCTGAAATTGACAGATTAACAGGTAAATCCAAATATACTTATGGGGAAGGGGTATAGATGGGAAGATTGGTACTGGTTTAAGGGAAAGTATTTCACATCAACAGATGAATGGATAAAGAAAATGGGGTATCTTCTTTTTATATATATATACACACACACACACACACACACACACACACACACACTTTATATATATACCTATATAGATACACTTTATATATATACTTGTATGTACAATTTATAAATAATTATACCTATATTAAATATAACTTTACTAAAATACCAAATATATATGAAAGCATGCATGAAAATAGAAATTTTAAATGATGAGATAAAAAGAACAGGAACTGTACCACTGTCCTCCCTGTAATGTCATGGATTGTCTTATATGTGCTCTACTCTGGACACTACTGAAATGGACAACCATAGAAGATGGGCTTCGACCAAAAACAACCAACCAAATGTCAATCTGTTTCATTCAGAAAGTCTATAGAAAATTGATACGGGTGTTCCTCTGGCATTAGGCCTTTAATTTATCCATAGGTCAAAGGTTATCCAGTTAATGGTGGTGTGCATTTTATATAGGAAATATCTTCCAGGTCCATACCCTAGCTTACCTTGCTGCTGCAATTTGTAATCAGTGGAATATGCCTTCCCAATGATATTCCATACAGGCCTTAAGCATCCAAATAGTCCTTCAAGAAACCCACCACTGCCGCTGCCCGACCTGCTGAACTGAATCTTGATGTCTTCAGTTCCACTCGTGCTCTCTCCGTCCACAGGGTTGCTGTTTCCATGAGAAATGGCCATCTCTGATTCATCTTGTTCCCTAAGCTGAAGAACGCTGTTCTCAAACTGGTCCCTGGAATCCTCGCTTACACTTGTCAACACTGTGGTGGTGATGGGGCTGTTTGTGCCCTCAGTTAGCTCTGTTTGCACCACCCCCTTTTCTTGCTGGTCCTTAAGGTGCTTGGGTGAAGGGTGGCTCCCCATTGGTGCAATGTCATCTTGTAGTCCATTGAAGGTTTTGTTTTCACTCAAGGGTAACTGTAGGGAAGAGGAGCAGCTCAGGTGCTCCTGAGGGCTGGCCATCGTGCCATGAGTGTGCCCAAGGTCCTGAGACGACCGACACTCAGAGGATCATTAGAACAGAGCTCTGATGTAAGAGTGGGCTTCAGAACCTGGGAAAAATAGGAGGACGATGTGAGATCACCCTTTCTTTAGTCATCCACACTACTACACTTCCATTTATAATAATAAAAACATTGAAACAAGGGGGATTGGTTAAATAGTAGTGTAGATCTACATGGTGGAATACTGTGCAGCAGTTAAAAACCATGTTGTAGAAGAGTATTTACTAAAATGGGAAAATGCTCATGACATATTAATACAAAAAACACATTAGAACAATATATACAACATAAGCCATTAAAAATTTTTGTTGTTGTTGTTTAAAAGGATACATAAACATATATACAAGCAAAAAAACTGGAAGGATACAATCAAAGAATTAACAATAGTCAATTCCAGGTGGTTAGATTTGGGAGGGATTTATATTATTGTTTTTCAAGATACTCTGAGTAGTTTGCATTAATGTTTCTATAGACTGAATGCTTGTGTCCCCCCAAAATTTACATGTTGAAACTCAGTCTCAATTGTAATGTTATTTGGAAGTGGGGCCTTTGGGAGGTGATTAGACCATGAGGGTGGAGCCCTCATGGATAGGATTAGTGCCCTTATAAGAAAGAATCCTAGAGAGCTCCCTCACATTTTCTGCCATGTGAGGACACAGTCTATGAACCAGGAAGCATGCCTTCATCAGATATTGTATCTCTGAGTGCCGTGGTCTTGGATTTATCAGCCTCCAAAAAACTGTCAGAAGTAAATGTTATCTGAGTTATCTAGTCTATGATATTTTTGTTATAGCAGCTTGAACAGACTAAGACATGTGTGTTATATTTATAATCAGAAAAAAATTATTTTCCTTCCCCAAAGTATAAATATATTTTTATTAGAAACTACATTCTGTGTTATTATAAGTCACTACTCATATTCTCTGTTTGCATTAGTGTCTTTTCCACTGGCACCTTACTTTAATTCCTAAGGCATGTAAATAAATGTCTTGTGTATGTGACAAGACAAATTCCTAAGATAAATTCCAAGATAAATTTTGTTTTTGCTGTACTGTACCAAATCTGGGCAATGTGATTAAGCCCCAACCCTTTAAACTTATTCCTTGCTTCTGATCTGTCCATTGGCCCAAATTTCTCAGAGGTACCTAACCTCTGAAAATAAAGACATGGAATTGTTCTAGATTCACCAGATCATGCAAAATCTATCTTAAATTTATTCAATGTATGTTGCTTATTAGAAATTTACTTTCTTTGCAAATCCCTATATAATAGGGATAATACAGAGAAAGATAAGTCAAGGGCTAGATTGTAAGTATGCCAGGCTAAGAGGTTTGGATTCTATCCTGAAGGTGATGGGGAGCCACAGTATCCTACATTGGGGGTTAAAAATAAAAATAGACCATTCCCATTTTATTAATTCCTCATCTTTATTACTAAGACCCAAATTTTAAGCCTTTTCTTTTCATTGCCATTCCCTATGAATAGCTTATGTGACTGAACCATTGAAAATATCCTATCCTTTAAACTCTCTTTCATCCACTTAAGTTATTAACTAAGCTCCTATCACATGCTATACAATGTGTTAGGCATTAATGAATGGCATATAGGTTCTCACTCTTTGGGAACTTACAATCTAGAGAGAAAGACAACAATAGCCACACAATTAGATAGGATACACAGATATGTACAAGGTGCTATGGGACCTCAGACAAATAAACATCAAATATGTCTAGAGATGTATCTACAGATTTAATGCAATCCCTATCAAATTACCCAGGACATATTTCACAGAACTAGAATAAATTATAATAAAATTTATACGGAACCACAAAAGACCTAGAATTGCAAAAGCATTACTGAAGAAAAAGAAAGAGGCTGGAGGAGTAACTCTCCCAGACTTCAGACACCACTACAGAGCTACAGAAATCAAGACAGCATAGTATTGGTACAAAAACAGACATATCGACCAATGGAATAGAAGAGCGAACCCAGAAATGAATCCACAAACTTTTGGTCAATTAATCTTCGACAAAGGAGGCAAGAATATACAATGGAATAAAGACAGTCTCTTCAGCAAATGGTGTTGGGAAAACTGGGAAAACCAACAGCAGCATGTAAAGCAATGAACACTCCCTTACACCATATACAAAAATAAACTCAAAATGGATCAAAGACTTAAACATAAGACAAGATACAATAAACCTCCTAGAAGAAAATATAGGCAAAACATTATCTGACATACATCTCAAAAATGTTCTCCTAGGGCAGTCTACACAAGCAATAGAAATAAAAGGAAGAATAAACAAATGGGGCCTAATTAAACTTACAAGCTTCTGCACAGCAAAGGAAACCATAAGGAAAACAAAACGACAACCTATGGAATGGGAGAAAATTTTGGCAAATGAAACCGACAAAGGCTTGATATCCAGAATATATAAGCAGCTCAAATGACTTAATAAGAAAAAAACAAACAACCCAATTCAAAAATGGGCAGAAGACCTCAACAAGCAATTCTCCAAGGAAGAAATACAAATGATCAATAGGCACATGGAAAAATGCTCAATATCACTAATTATCAGAGAAATGCAAATCAAAACTACAATGAGGTATCATCTCACACCAGTCAGAATGGCCATCATTCAAAAGTCCACAAATGACAAATGCTGGAGAGGCTGTGGAGAAAAGGGAACCTCCCTACACTGCTGGTAGGAATGCAGTTTGGTGCAGCCACTGTGGAAAACAGTATGGAGATTCCTCAAAAGACTAGGAATAGACTTAACCATATGACCCAGGAATCCCTCTTCTGGGCACATATCCAGAAGGAACACTACTTCAAAAAGACACCTGCACCCCAATGTTCATAGCAGCACTATTTACAATAGCCAAGACATGGAAAAAGCCTAAATGTCCATCAACAGATGACTGAATAAAGAAGATGTGGTATATCAATACAATGGAATACTATTCAGCCATAAAACCCGACAACATAACGCCATTTGCAGCAACATGGATGTTCCTGGAGAATGTCATTCTAAGTGAAGTAAGCCAGAAAGAGAAAGAAAAATACCATATGAGATTGCTCATATGTGGAATCTAACAACAACAGCAAAAGTACATAAATACAAAGCAGAAACAGACTCATAGACATAGAATACAAACTTGTGGTTGCCAAGGGGGTGGGGGAGTGGGAAGGGATAGACTGGGATTTCAAAATGTAGACTAGATAAACAAGATTATACTGCATAGCACAGGGAAATATATACAAGATCTAGCGGTAGCTCAATGAATATATGTATGTTCATGGATAACTGAAAAATTGTGCTCTACACTGGAATTTGACACAACATTGTAAAATGACTATAACTCAATAAAAAAAAGTTTAAAACTTTTTTAAAATACTTTGTAAAATGTTAAAAAAAGTATTTATTAAATATATGCTGGGAGCTGTGCCATGCGCTAGGCTAGGTTCTGTGCATAAAGAACATTACTATTACCATTACTATTTTTAATGATAAGTAAGACAAAGGGCTTTACAATTTACAGAGCCCTGTTAATATAATCAGTGATGAGTTTACTTTCCAGAGTAAGAAAACCAACAATCTGACTGTAGTGTTTGCCAGTTTCCCTGGCATAAATACTCCCACCAAGGCAGATTTCAAGTTAATAGCAGTTTAACAACCTGCTTGCGAAGTTACTAAATATTTGACAATTGGCTCTTACAAACTGGTGCATAAGTCAGCATCAGCACCACAATCTTTGTGATGGTGGTATTTTCACTTTAGAAAAGTACGAAACTTCTAAGGCCATGTATTGACTAAGTGGTAGAGCATATTCTTTTTTACAACATGAGGGGACCTCTTAGGATAACCCTCACTTTCTTAGGTTGCTTCACAGGTGAAAAAATAATGTTTCCTGTGATCCTGATCTAAACATCTGATTGCCTGTGAGGGGACACCAGAGTGCAGAGTTATTATCCCTGTTCTTCACAGAAGGACACTGAGGCCTAGAGAGAGGTATATGCTGAAGGTCACAGAGCTAGGATGGAACATCAGGTTATTTTTCCTAATCCCAAACTCCTGTACCATTGTACTACGTGGTCTCTTTAAGACAGTTTCTTCTTTTCAAAGCTTATACGCTACTTAAGGAGTTGGTACTTATATCGAGGGAATTACCTCCTGCCCACTTCTTTCTCCCATGACCTAAGGGTCATATTCTGTTCCACAGAGCTGTGAGAGAAGAGGAACAACACTGGGGCAGGAATAGTTAGGTTGGGCTGTATGGAATTGAGATGAACCTCTGAAAGAAAGGTGTGTTTGAAACTGACAAAAGAAAGGAAGTCAGGGAAGAATACAAGCATTTGCAGAGACAGGGAAAAATGACCAGGGCATGTGTGAGAGGGCTGGGAACCCAGAAATAATGAAATAGGCAGCTAATGTTGATGAGCAGTGTGAAACAAAGGTAACTCCTTCATATAGGGACTCTGAAAGCTCATGAAATAATGCAGATGATTTTTCCCTTTAAACAAATCAAAGAGATTTAACTACATCCAGTTAGGTTAAGTGGGACTTAAATTCTGGGGCATGGAGAAATTTAGGGGCTGGGAGGCTGCCTGGGAATACACGGTTGGGGAAAGGAAAGAATAAAGAAAAAGAAAAGCTGGAGCCCTTTGTTACAGCAACTGCTGTTTGCTGAACTGACCATGATTCCCCTCCCTGATTTGCCCCACTTCCTTCCTTTTGTGCGCATCTCTAAGCTTTGACATTACTGATCCCCTCATTTTGCTTTCTTTCTGATCTCCTGTCACAACCTTGAGCTGTCTCTGGCCTTCGGCCTCTCAGACCTTGCTCTGCCTGATCTCTTGGCCACTGCCTCAGCAGTTGCTTCCAGTCTGTCTCTATCGCTGGGACTCGTGGTTATCCTTTACAGCACAGGATATACATACATTATGCTGTTGGCTCATATCAGGCTTGAGGATAATGCAAACATTCAAATGTATATGTGAATTTCAGCCAAACACCTATTTGTGCAATTTGTTCTTTGAACCAAAC